CGTGTGTGTCGGTAGCTTGGAGAAGATTTTATGAAGGGAGATGTAAGGTACCAGGATGTAACGGTACTCCAAATGTCAAATGACAGAAACGTGACATCCACCTCTGTTTCATGGAGTTCCAAACATTTTTTTAAACATATATAAACAAGGAGCACCGAGTTCCCCAAAAGGGTGACGTGTTTTTTTTCTCTGTAAAACTAAAATTCATGGCGTAGAACAGGAATCTATGGGAAATTCCTTTCTTTTTGTCACCGGTCTCAACTGGCTAACTGAGGAACTGCAGCATTTGGCACTTTTGCATTCGCTTCATTTTTCAACCCTGGAGAAAACTGTGTTGTTTTACCATTTGACTGGTAGTCCTTTTCCTCTGAGAGCTCTCTGGTAATGACTTAGCTCATGAGGCTAGTTACAGGGGTTAAGTGTTTAAATTTGTCGATAGCCAAACGACTGGGATACGTAAAGATTTTTAGTGCCAAAATTAGGCCAAACTGCAGTGTTTTGGTGTTAAATTGCCTGCTCGCTGTGGAGGATGGATTAGTCAATACCGTGTTAGACTTTAGCACTCCAGCAGGGTATTTATTCACCGTAGAGGCCCCTGACGGTTCACACTTTTGGACTTTGACTTCAGCCTGTGTGTTATTAATGTTTTAGATTTGGTTGACCTATATTTTTCACTGCTGTTGGCATTTTGTGGGTCAGAGGAGGCAGCAGTCTCCCTACTGAGCATGTTCAGTTTGGGTATTACAGATTCTTGTGCTACAAATGGATGTTGAGACTATTTACTATCACTAGACTCCAAAAGCTGTGCGTGTGTCCACGAGTGTTGCGCGCATACAGCTGATTCAAGACACATACGAGAGACAAGATGACCTTATCACTGTGTATGAATGAATTAATCAGAGCGGTAAACTCCCACGTGTCTTTTCCGTCCTCACTAAAGTCAGTGGCTCGTCCTTGCAGCGTGTTTCAAAATTAAAACATTCGCTCTGGTTCAAAGGAACTGTCAGGCTGATTCTTTTTGCCTCTCTGCTTCCTAGTCATCCTAGAAACTGCACTACAGAGGAACAAGTGGAGGTTCTGTGTAGCTGCCTGGTGAGACAATGACACTAACGCTGCCAAGGTTTTAGGGGCTTGACTCCTACTGAAGCCAGCAGTGAAATGTTTGCTGTCGTGCTGCTGAAAGGTGCCCTGGTTAAGAGTCTCCAACAAATGATATTATGTTCAACACAGCAGTCTACAGAAAGAGGTCAAATGTCCCCTTTGGGAAACAAATACCACTCACTTGAAAGCAAAGAATTTCAGAATCTGCCGCAATCCACTCATAAAACTTTTAGCATGACTCCTCAGGCAGATCAATATTTATTTATTGTAGCAGAAAAATCATGAAGCGCTGTCATTGATACAAAGAGCTCCTTCATTTTTAGCACTTGAAGCTTCTAAATGAGGCGGAATGACGAGAAGATGCAAACTGGGTTAATCACCAACTCTCCTCTGCTATCCAAAAACATAATCTTCCCTATCCTAATACTCCATCTGTGGATGAAACCGGTGAACCATGTTATATAATAATTGCATAACATGTCCTAGCCGACTGCACCCACATATGACCTACATGCTATCACCGAGCACATTTGAAGGGAAGTGAAAAGGCTTCTAAATAATTAACAGAATGACAAATCAGCTCAACAAACTACATCTTCATGCACATCTGCTGCTTTATTTTAAAAGTATCGTCAAACTTTGGAGTTTAGCAGATGTCTTGTGTAAATCAAAAATGTGCATCTTTTTGAAAACTTTAGCCTGTTGAAAAAATTATGAAGAAAACAATATTTATATATGCTCTCTACGGTGAGAGAGAACATATGATTTAAAAGTCGTTAAACTTTTTCTTTAACACCCATCATCTTTAACTTCTAGGCTGGTTAAATAAATAATAAATAATAAAGTTAGACGTCAGGATTTTTTTT